AGATTGTAAGAGAGCGCCATTCCAATCCTCATAATAGAAGTTTAATGATTGGGAAGACTGCATGATGTTTGCCTATCAATTGCTTTGATTTCTCTGCTTATAAAATAACAAATATACCTAGAAGTGCTGCTTAGAATGCCTTTACTTGATGCTTTATGGAGATGTGTAGCAGCCGCATGTCTGTGGGAATAGTGCGATTTTTTTTTTTTTTCACCAAAAGAAAGGAAGAGAGAAAGAAGCTCGCTTAAAGGGATAGAGTATTTATTTAATTTGCTAGTGAATTATGATACATTTTGTATAGGCATTTCCTTAAGATATTTTACTTTTAATTAAAAGATGAATAAAGCCAAATTGTTTTGCAATGTTAAGAAAAAAAAAATTGGTTTATGCTTATAAAAATGGATAAAGTTATCTAAATGATCCATTGAGTGCCCATTTTAATTACATAGATGGAAGGATTACAAGAGGACAGTATTTTATGTCTACCCGCTGCTTACTGTGAGGTCAGTTCTTCAAATTTTTATTACTAGAATCTTACATAAACCTTTTGAGTTAAATTTCATTTCCAAATATACAAAGGGAAGTTTGTGGGCCATGGTCGTCTTTATTCATTGTGCATTTTGTTCCTCTTCTGTTGTGTTTTTGTTTCGTTTCCTTTGCGTTGTGTTTTCGTTTTGTTTTATTTACCTTCCAAAGAGAATGTCTGTCTCTATATGCAATAGTGTACGTATGGCTATACATACACACTGCATATATAATCTATATACATATGATGAGTTAAGAACGTGTGACTACTTATATAAATATATAGAGATACTCTTACAGTTTATCTGTTCACCTTTAAAATATCTGAGTCGTATCTCATAACACTGTGGTTGGTTTTGTGCAAACTTTTCTTTGAAAATACTTTCCTTTAAGGTAAGGCAAATGAAATAGCTTTTATTTTAAGGTGTGTTTTGTTTTTTTTTTCTTTTCTTTCCCATCGCCATTCTCTTTCTAGCGTGCAATGATGCGCTTCTCAGAGTTGGAGATGAAGGAGAGAGAAGGTGGCCACCCAGCAACCAAAGACTCCGAGGTGTGCAAATTCAGCCCAGCCGACTGGGAAAGGTTGAAAGGAAATCAGGACAAAAAGCCAAAGTCAGTCGCCCTGGAGGAGGCCATTGCTGACCAGAACGACAATGAGAGATGTAAGTAACCCCGTCCAGGAACCAGGGAGGCGAGAGGGAGCGACTCCCGTTCGTCGACCCAGGTCCGGTTGGTGTCCGTGTGGAGGAATGGACTGCCTTTGGAGTGAACGGCTGATGATTGTCCTTTGGGACATGTGGCTGCCGGGAGTGAGGCTTCTGTAGAGGACCCTTCTTCTGGGACATAGTTTCTTTGCCAAAGAAACCATGTCCGGTCACTAGTAACTTTTATGCGTGTGGCTGAGAATGGCAGCGGGCACCGTGGTGGCACATTGCAGCCGTGCACTGATGGTTCCTAGTCCCTCCCTTCACCTCCAGGGTGGCGGTCCGATACGGAGTGGAGACGACTGTGGATTCTCTCTCCGATGGCCTAGCTTTCGTTACAATGGGGTAAAGGACGATGACGTCACCACAGTGAATGCTTTCCTCAGGTCACTCTCTATCCAGGCCCAGCAGCTGCTTCCCCACGGGGACTGACTCGGGGATTCGGGGATTTGCTCACTAGACCTGCCTGGTGACATGATGTATTGGCAGCAAATGGAGAGGCCTTTTTTTCTCTTCACTTTTTTTATTTTATTTATTATCGTTATTACTGAATTTGACTAGAGAGAGAAAGGGAGGAAGCAAATTGCCAGGTCTGGGACTCAAACCACAGTTGGTCATGGGGAAGTCCAGCACCTCAACCCCCATGCCACATGCCAGCCCCTCTCTTCACTTCTTAACTGCATGCCTGCAGCTTGCAGCCTGCTCCCAGTCTCAGAAGCTTTACCAGAGGAGGTTAATTAGGGCGTATGGGTGAACTGGAAGAGGCCACCCAGTGGGGGATGTTGAGTACCTTTAAGAGCTCCCTGCCATTGGCTGCCCTGGGGTTGGCCTTCCAAAAACAGTTCACTGAGGCCTGATGGGTTCTGGGGTGAATTTGTGGTCAGGGAGAATGTGCTTCTAGAGCGCACACCCCTTTTCCCCACTCCCAATGCATCCCTAGGGTCCTACGTAGGCACCTGCTAGAATCCCAGAGAAGCAAAACCAGGACCCGTTTGTTTTCAATTAGTCCCAAAGAAGGTGGTTTCTATTGCCGGCAGTGGCCTTCCCATGTGGCAGGGACCCTCGATGTACCTAAAGTTTCCTTCCTCGTTCCACCTCGGAGGGTGGACAAGGGGTAGTGGACGGTCCATGAAAGCCTTCCTCCTTGCTGATGGTCATTGGAGACCTGCAACACCAGCCCCTCTCTCTGAGTCGCCTCGTCACACTGACTCTTGGGAAGATTTCGGGACCTAAGAGAAAAGTGGCCAAGGCTAAGTTAAGGGGAAGGTGCTTCTAGAAGCTGGAGAACTGACTGCGAGTAAGAATCCAATCCCTCTTTTCCTCTGCATGGGTGGTGAAGGAGACTGGAGGAAGGGATGGGAACTTTGCCAGCTTTAAGTCTTCCAGCCCTGTCTGTAATTTTCCAGTAACATGGCTGGACTCAGGGTGGCCACTGCCCTTGTTCACATTGGAGTGATCTCAGGTCTACCTGCTGCTTAGAAGTTCAAGTCCTTCCCTGTCTTCCCTGCTGGATATAGAGATGAGAGCTTGGTGTGGCTGATGGGGGAGGAGGGCTGAGCCCCAGATGGTTCAAAAAGACTTCCCTTTCCTTTCCCCACACCCCTCCCAAGTTTTAGACCAGTGGAACACCAGGATGGGGCCCGGCAAGGCACGAATCACCCGTTCTCCTCAGATGATAAGCCATGGCGGAGAGAACCCAAGAAGGGTTGGAAAAGACATGGGACTCATTTTGAAAGGAGAATGGGTCACCAGGCTGAGCCCCAGATGGTTCAAAAAGACTTCCCTTTCCTTTCCCCACACCCCTCCCAAGTTTTAGACCAGTGGAACACCAGGATGGGGCCCGGCAAGGCACGAATCACCCGTTCTCCTCAGATGATAAGCCATGGCGGAGAGAACCCAAGAAGGGTTGGAAAAGACATGGGACTCATTTTGAAAGGAGAATGGGTCACCAGCTCCAGACTCAGAAATCTGGTCACCTGTGGCTTGTGGCTGGGAAGGAGAGAGCCCTACAGGAGTCATTGCCCCTTGCTCTTGCCACTGCCACCTCGTCCAGGGGACAGCAGGGGCTAGATCCATTCAGCAGTAAATCTACTGGGCCTGCTCAACGCCACATCCCTCTGGTGTCGCAGTGGCTGTGCGCCAAGCGTGTATGGGAGCTGGGTGAGGATTGGAGGGTGGGCAGGGGTCCCAAAGAGGGTACAGGATGTCTTCCTGAAGCCTCTTCACCTAAGGCAGCCCTCCAATCCCAAGCACTCATAGCTTCTGAGGCTGGGGGTGCTTCTTGAACAGCTTGGCCACCTGTGTGTGGGTGCATCTCATTGGGGAGGGATTGTATACGAGACGTGAAAGAACCTGAAGATGCCATGGTCAGGATTTTCCTTTATTCTCGCTGACAGTAGGAGTAGCTGGGTCACATTTTCAGTGTGGAAGTCACACAGAGGAGTCAAGAGGCTTCTGAAACATCATTAGACGGACCCAGCAGTGGCGTTTTGAAGTTGGGGAGAGAAGGAGACATTGGTCCCTTCCTTCCCAAACATGGGTGACTTTTCCAGCTACTTGGCGGGAGGGCTCAGTGGCCATGCCTAGATGGCAGATGGAGGAAGCCTGAGTCAAAGGGCTACGTGGGACCTCTTGGCTCTGGAAGCTTCTCTTCCAGAAGAGCAACACCTGTATGCTTTGTCAACTACTTTGAGTTTAGAACAGAGACACGACCATGCCTCTGCCCAAGAGGACGTGGCTCGGAATGAGGCTAGAGGTGAACTGACATGAAGGGGTAACCCTGGAAAGACTCAGTGCTCTCCCATCTTGTTTAGGGCTCCCTGGGCATGGCTGCCACCGTGGGGAAGTTGCTTTGTTGCCACGGTGACTTGTAAATGTTGCCATGGCGATGCTTCTATGAGATACTGCTATGGCACAACCATGATAAATTATGGGATATATGTACTGTGAGTCATATGACCAGGCTGCAGGGAGCAGGTGTTATAGTATGAACAGCACAGTCACGTTCACGTCTGCCCGGACCGCATGCCCAAGGGCACGTGTCTTCTCGCCTATACAAGGACCGAAAGGAGCTGCCCTGGTAGAGCCCAGTGGTTAGGACCTCCGTCCGTCTGTCTATCCACCCATCTCCTCTGCCCTCGAGGGTAGTCTTGTGGGTCGTGGTTTTGAAGAGGTCCAAGTTGAAGCGTGCGGGAGTGTGACCCTATGTGCACCTTGAGGCTTCACGGTGGGTATCCTTCAAGGTGTGGAAGGTTCCCCCTAGCCAGGTCAGGTCTTCGGAGACCTTCACTGGCGGGAGTTGAAACCTTTCCTTGAGAGTCTCGTGTGTTGGGGGATGGAGTGTAGACCTAGTTTGAGAAGAAGATCCTCTTGAGAATGGGGAAGGCGGCTACACTCCTGAAGGAGGGAGAAATGGGCGTGGGCGGCTGTGATTTCATTGAGCCCCAAATTTAGCAGCGGAGAATTCCTG